AGGAATCCAGAAGCAGCTGGGACAGGAGAATGGGTGTCAACAGCAGGCAGATGGAGGAGTCACATATCTAGAGGAATCAAGGGTGAATGGAAGTGTCTAGTCAAAGTACAGGCAATGCCCGGCTTGAGAGAGTAGAAATCTACTGAGTCTGAGAAGAAATGAAGTCAGAAATCCCTGTTTTTCCTAAAAAGGCCAGGGAACTGCTTCTTTAATCTGAAGTGGTTCAGGAATTATGCAATATTTATGAGTCATTAATAAGAGTTCATCCATTTATGAACTACCGTTCCCTGAAACCCTGTCCCGCATTACTAACATTGTCCTTACCTCTTCTTTTTAAGAAAAAACAGTGGATATCACATTGCTTACCCTCACCTTGATTTGCCTCCTGGTTTTCCTTGGATGTTTGCTGACATGCGCATGTCGAAGGTAATATACATTTCTAGAAGGTGGTATAAATTTCTACTGGAAGAGAGATGGGGAGGAAATAATTGCCTTTTCTGAAGGAAAACAAACCATGTAATGGATTAATAAGTAAGTCAAACACAGATTTGTTTGCAAGAAGCATCTAAATATGTGTTAATGGCTATTGTTTCAACAGAGGTGTGATTCAGAGACAAGACAAAGCTACTGCTGAGCACAGTTACTATCATCTCCCAGCTTCCCTCCCAGTTCCAGGACATCCAGGACATCCAAACTCCCTGCTCTCTCTCCCACCAGAAATGGCATTTTGTACCTCAGTGCGACTTTTTGCACACAGTGTGACTTTCCCCCATGCTTTGTAGGTTCTGTTCAGTGACATCAATGTCAATCATACTAAAGATGCGTTCTTTCAGCCATATAGCCCAATTTCTTTTCATAATTGATGGGTATCTACAATATTCTTTTCTTCTAAGTTTCACAGCATGCACAAAACAATTTAAAAAAAAAGAAAAAAAAAGAAAAAAAAAAGAAAAAAATGGGAAAAGTAATTTGTTCTGCTGTGTCATCAGAGGACTTGCACTTGCTACCATTTCATGCAAGCTACTGAGTGATCCATACCAACACCCAACACTGCTTGGCTGCATAACTTTCCCATTCAGGTTGTAGGAAAGTTTTTTTTTTTGTACTGAACAGCATTATGTTCAGGATAGCATGGTAACTTGAGGTGTCTTCATATTTGGAAGGTACAGCATGTAAATTCAAAACTTTTACTCTCTAAAGTTAATGAATTAATTAACTACAAAATTGTTTTCCCTAGGGAAACAATCACAACCATGTAATTGAAAGCTATCTGTATCTAAACACAAAACAATGTGGTCATCAAATAGTAAGAAGTGCCTCTGGTCTCAGGAGAGCAATTCAGCTGCTATAGTTTTTTTTTTTTTTTTCCTGTGGAAAACCCATAATATTCAAAGACAATGTATAATCCCTTGTGATAGTACAAAATGTACAGACACCACTTGCTTTTAACTCGAATTCTACTAGATTTGAACAAACTATTTAAAAGACTTTTCTGATACTATATCTGCCTTGACTTCAGGCATATTTTTCTTTCTTTAATTATCACACTTTATGGATGATATTTTTAATTATAAAAAGCTTCTGGAGAGCAGCTCTACAGAGAAGGACCTGGGTATCATGGTGGATGACACGTTGACCATGAGGCAGCAGTGTGTCCTTGTGGCCAAGCAGGCCAGTGGGATCCTGGGGTGCATTAAGAAGAGCATCTCCAGCAGATCGAGGGAGGTGATCCTGCCCCTCTACTCAGCCCTGGTGAGGCAGCATCTGGAGTATTGTGTCCAGTTCTGGGCTCCCAGTACAAGACGGACGTGGAACTACTGGAGAAAGTCCAGCGCAGGGCTACGAGGATGATCAGGAGCCTGGAACATCTGCCCTATGAGGAAAGGCTGAGAGAGCTGGGCCTGTTCAGCCTGGAAAAGGGAAGGGGGCCTGAGAAGAAGAGATGGGACCTGATCAGTGTATATAAATACCTTAAGAGAGGGAGTGAGGAGGAGGGTGCTGGCCTCTTTTCAGTGACAGCCACTGATAGGACAAGAGGAAATGGTCACAAACTGAAGCACCAAACATTCCACAGGAACTTAAGGAAAAATTTCTTAACAGTGAGGGTGACAGAGCACTGGAACAGGTTGCCAAGAAAGGTTGTGGAGTCTCCTTCGCTGGAGATCTTCAAAACCTGCTTGGACACAATCCTGTGTAACATGCTCTAGGTGACTTTGCATGTGCAGGGGGTTTGGACTAGAAGATCTCTAAAGGTCCCTTCCAATCTTAATGATTCTATGATTCTATAATATATAGAAGTAAATTTACAGCAATAGGTTGTAATGATAGCATACTGCAGGCTCACACTCTCCTAAAAAGTTAAGTGTGTGTGCATATGCATACTACTCCTTCAAAGCTCTTGCTAGCTAATAAACAATCAGGTTGCTAAAGATTTGGGGAAAAAAATGAGCAAAATGTCTGCAATGAAACCAACAAGGGTAGAATAGTTTTAGCAATTATAGCAGGCTAATTTGGACATCTAAATCATGCATTTTTTTTTGATACACATTGAGATATGTTCCCAAAGCGTCCAAGTTTGTTTTTCTAGTCAGTAGAAAAGAGGTCAATGTTTCCAAAGGCTCTTAGGTTGCTTCTGTCAATCTAAATTTAGTCATTTTTTTTGGTTTGTTAGATGCTATTTTTGACTCAGAACATACAGCATGCTAAGTCTGCACTGGTGTTTCCTCTTTTTATACAGGTTTTTGACTTAGTCAAAATGTTGCTATTACTATTACAGTTAAGTATTACTGAATGATCTGCAGACAGTCATGTTTCTGTATCATTCTCTTGCAGGTACAGATGTCTGGAAGCTCTAACTGTGCCTGTCCCACAGGCTGCAGATAGTATCAAAACTTGGTTAGATGCAGAAGAGACTCACCACCAGGTAGAGTATATATATATATATTTGTTTGTTTGTTTTTCTCTTACAGTATTAGCATATATAATATTTTTGAGTTCAGAATGGTACAAGTTTAGATTGGAGCAGCAAGCCAGTTTTTAAGGAAAAAAAATGGAAAAATGGCAGACAAAATGTTTGTACTGAAGCCAAAAGAGAACAGAAGAACTGTGGATATTACAGGACAATGATCTCAGTAGAAAGGAGGAAGAAAATCCACAGGAGAGTAATATTTCAAGAACACCTCAAAGAGAAAGCGTTTCAGCACATTCACACTCAGCTGGGCCATATTTCAAGGAGCAATCCCCATGAATCCCTGCAGAGGAGTGAGGTGCTGGGACACTGCAGGTAGGGGCATGTGCACAAGCTATAAAGGGGAAGTCTGCACAGAGATGTGCGCAGCATTAGCTATTTTGAAATAAAAGTCCATGTGCACATTTTTATTGAAAATAAGAGGAGGCTCTGCTGTGCACAAAATATAAGCTACCACAACAGTACATATACTACAATACAAATCATGCAGAGGGGTATTTTGGAAGAGTACACATGCTAATTTACCTCATTGTAACTTACTGGTCCTTAAGTCAACTGGACAAAAGGGAAAATACATACTTGCATTATCCATGTAGGTGTAAATTACACAGTGCTTGTAAATGTAGATTACAAGCTTGTGTTTTTAGTGCTTCTTTCCATTGTCTATGATCATATGTGTTACAAGAAAAAAAAAATCACCAGTTATCTAAATCCCTTGCTGTAGTGCTCTAGTGAAGCTCTGCAAAGTGCTGTGCTCCAGGAGGTATGGAAAGATTATTTCTTACCATGTTCACTTGTAGAACATGATGAAAAGGTGCAGGTGTATCCAAACAATTGTGCTTTTTTTTTTTTTTGAGACATTACTGAAATAACAAATTGTTATGAGGGTTTTCTCCATCCTTTCTATGCAAAACATTTGTTTAAGAATTTCTTCAGGATTTTCATGAATTCTACGCTGTCCTACTCAATTCTGTTTACAATGTCTAAACATCTTCTAGTCATGCATTCAGCAATATAACTAACATCTGCCAGTGCTAGCAGTTATGCCATCTTCTCTCCCAGAGGAAAAAACTTGTATTCTTTGTAATGTTCTGTTTTGTTTTTCATGCAAATATGCAAACGTAATCACAGAACGTATGGCAGAAACCACAGCCCATCTCAATTTGTAAATCACAATTGTAATTGTGAGACAAGAGAGGAGTAAATTGTTTTGTTTTCTTTTACTCTACAGTCTAAAAGATAATTTATGGAAAAAAATAGTGTGCATATGCCATATGATTGCATTGCAAAAGGCAAGATTGATGGCATGTGTTTTGAACTTGCACTTGGTGTTCATTGCACAAGCTTTGGGCAGTTTACCAAGAAAGATCTATGGTCCTCTTTATCTTTAGTCATCTTTTCAGAAAAGAAAAGCCCAACACCTTCAGACTGGATTGAAGCCAAGCCTCTTATTCCCAAGAATCAGTGTCACTTCTGGGACACCTCAGGCCAAAAGTATTTGACCAAATTTTGTGAAAAGATGTTGTATTTGACACCTTCTCTGTGCTAAATCCCGTCACCACTGTCATCAGTAATGGTGTGCAAATTAACGAATAATACCTATTGGGGACATCACATTTGGACTGCCAGAACGTAAGGACAAACTCATGACTGCCAAATATATATTCTCTATCTTCCCCCACCCTCAAAGTATATGATCTGTTATTTAGGGGTCTCTTTGGTTCATTATATAAATCAAAAACCACAACAAACAAAAATCACAACAATAAAGATATTTGACATCACTAACAGATAAGACAGACATCTCTGTCCCCAAACTATTGCAAATGCTAAACACATCTTTGATAGAAAGCTCTCTGCATAGCTGTGCAGTTGCTGCCTATATGATTACAAGAAGTGGCTGAGGTGACTGCTGATGGCAATCTAGGAAAGATAAATTGAATAACACATATGGAACATATCATATCTCAGATACTCAGAAACCCAAAATAGCAGAGACATTTGCTTTGGACATACTGTAAGAGTTAAGACTACTGTGAAGCATGGTGGTGATATTACTTGTTTTATCCAACAAATGAATATACTCCCTGGAACTGGATATATTGTTCACTGCAACAGGCTGCCCAGAGAGGTTGTGGAGTCTCCTTCTCTGGAGATCTTCCAAACCCGCCTGGATGCCACCCTGTGCCACGTGCTCTAGGTGTCCCTGCTTGAGCGGGGGAGGATTGGACTGGGTGATCTCTAGAGGTCCCTTCCAACTTTAACCATTTTGTGATTCGGTGATTCTGTGACACAGTCTTATCATTTCAGAGCTTAACTAGTGAACAAAATTACAGCTCAAAACAATTAAGCAAATAAGCTTATGAGCCGTTTGTAGAGTGAGATTCTAACCAATCTGATATCTGTATTTCATTTAGCATAACAATCCCAGATATGCAAAATAAGTAGCACACTTGTAACAAAATTCAGAATTTGTAGTATCATTGAATTCTTTTTTTTTTTTTTTACATAATGTAATTTTTATCCAACAGAAACATATTTCAATGCCAATGGAAATGCACTCAGAGAATGGACTGGAAATTACAGATGTGAACTGAGACAGGGACATTCAGAAGCAAAGATACTTGATGAGATCAGTATCAGAAGACCTGTAACATCGCTATGATTTATTTTCTTCATGGCAAGAGTTGTGTCTTTTCAATATTTTAAACAAGACTGGAGTTTGTCTGAGCCCAACGATTTGATATTGCTGAAAACTTTTGAACTCTGACATTTTATAACTCTTAGGATGTGCATTGAAACGCAGAAGAAATAGCAGCACCTTACAGATTGTCTTTAACTACTACAGATCTTCAGTCCAGTGATATTTCAGCAACTCATATATATGCAGCAAAACATACAGTAGGATATTCAGCCACACTTGGGTCAAGAATTAGAATTCATAATATTGTTTCATAATGCTGCATTTTTTTCCAAAAAATGTGTACTACAGTATGCCTTTGAAAACTGACTGTTCTTACAAATGCCATTAACAACTACTCAATATCTGATTGAAGTGTTCAGAAGAAATAATGGAAGCAACTCCTGTTCATAGAAATAGTAGAAGAAGCTCTAAAGGAGTCTCAAGAGCTCTGCAGAAATCATCTTCTGAGATACTGCAATGCACAAAGAAAAAAAAAAAAAAAAACAGAAAGAAAAGTCTTGTGTAACGACACAGAGTTTTTTAATGTGATGGATGTATTCCTGTGCACCTAGCAAAAGGAGAAAGCTTTAGACAGGGTGAAGAACATAGAGAATATTTTCTGTTTTATCCCAACACTTTTTTTAAAAACAGACAATAAATACAATATGCATCTGAGCATAGTTTTGATCCACATAAATATGGTGACTGTTGGCAAAATACCTCCTTTATCTCAGTGAAGAAGATTGCGCTGTTCCTTCTTTCGTATGAAAAATGAATGATAAGGTCTTAGATGCCAGAATGGACAATGGCAGGACTATCATTGACTTTGTTTGCCATATGGTCAAGTTCATGACCTGAGGTAAAAAAAAAAAAAATAGCTTCACTAGATTTTGCTTTATTTCCTATCAATTTTATGTTTTATAGGAGGTGAGGATGGCCTTGCTTATGAACATCAGTGTTCTTCCCCTTGTATCAATCACCTTGATGCCTACACAGCTCAGCAAGAAGATTATAGATGGTAGATACCATTTATTAAGTCAGGTTTCCTTTTCCATCTTGAGAAAAACACAGTTACCAGCATGTTCATTCCTCACCTGCATAGGCAGACTTTGTCTCTGTGGCAGACAAGGTAGTTTACATCCTAGCCATAGTAGCTGCCAGTTTTCAGCAGAAGGACAGGAAGAATTGCTACTTCAACTAAAAATCATCACAGGAGGCATTTGGGAAATAAGCGTCACGAACTTAAAGATTCCTTTGCAGGTAAGGATATAGAACTGATAAACTGAAAGAATTCAAACACATGTGAGCTAAGTAGAGTGGATAAGTACCATGCATTAGCCAAACACATCTGGAATCCAGACTTTAAATCCTGAAATCAGGCTTCAGTGAACATTATATTGTTCCTTAAAATATATTTTATATACATACATTTTATATAGTTTTGGCTTGAGCTTGAAGCTCGTAAACAGTGCCATGATTTAAAATAACATAGAGCCTATAGATTAAAGTCATTTTACCATTTAACCTGAAAATAGAATAATTCTTTTAAATCAAAATTGCTTTGCCTACAAGAGGCTTCAGTTTAGATCCATACACACAGTTCACCCCAGCACACATGGCAACTTTCAAACGCATACCATAAAAAAAGAAAAAAATGTAATATCAGTTGTACAAAAAGTTAGTTCTAAAGTGCAAACTTGTAATAAAAAATCAGTGTCTAGACCTTTTTGAAAAACACTTGAATATTTTCTTTAGAAAATAGTATATCATTTTCTTAAAATAAGAATATTATTTTAGCTATTCTAAACCTATATTCCAAACATGGATTAATGTGCAATATATACATGATGGCAGATTATTATCTGAAAGCAAAATTGTAAAGTCCTCCATATGGTAGTGAGCACTTAGGTATATATAAAATCTCACTCAGCTCAGCTGGATCTTTCCTGTGAATGAAGTATTTACTTTCAGAAAGCTTCATCTTCTAGTACTCGTGGCACAACTTGATGAGTCTCTTTATAGTGCAGCATACAGAATGATTGCTATTCTCCTCCACTTATGCATACATCAAAGTCTCATTTGTTTCTACTGTATTGGAGTCAATATCCTTCTGATTGGGCTATAAAGCCTTGTAAAATATTGTGACTGGCTATTTTTATGCTTTCAAGGCATAAAATCCCCTTCAGCCAGGTCCATATAGCATATGGAGCCGTAGGGCAAGGAGTATTATCCTATAACCTGTTTTCCTCCTGTACATAAGTGACTGATAGTG